AACTGTTGCAGCGGGTTCAGATGCAAGATGGAGTAAAGTAATGGGGAGTTGGTGCTGAATTGGTGTGCTCGAGATGGATTCGACACAACTGCTGCATTGGCAATTGGCGTGGGAAGTACCGGAGGTAATTGGTTCGTCGACTGTCAATAGGTGGTTTGGTAGAGGGGTGGCGGCTAAGTCTTCCGGCATGGCGGCTATCTTCTGTGTTGGCCTGCGCCCTCCGATAGAGGAGCGGCAATATCACCCGGTGCAACTATTTAATTATTAGATTTGTATTTCAAAGCAACTACTCGGCCAGGGTGTAGCGTACATATCAGTCTCTTCGGGTGTCGGTGGTATTGCGCTGCGGAAGCTGGCTCCCCTTCGCCTGCTTGGTTCTGCGTCATTGTTCTGCCACCAGGAAGCAGCGGATAACAGATTGGCTGTTTTGAATTGTAGAATCGCTGGAATATGCTACTCCCTCGAGGGACAACACTGCGCATAAGTTATAGTCCCCGTTCTATCTGTTCTGTTCTCGCAATTAGCGGGTCGGGTTGCTTCTCACCCCGCGCTGGTGGGTTGAGTGGCCAGGATGCATCTACTTACACAGGAGATAATGCCAATGCTGATAACTAGGCGATAATAAGAACAGTAGCAGAGGTAATTTCATTAGCAGAGACAGAAAGGCAAAGAGAGAGAGAGAAACCGCTGTCAGAAAAAATACGGAAGTTCTGACTCGTTTTCGCGGTCATCTGCCCGGCTAACTAGTAGTCACTTAGTGACGTGATGTCCGTCAGGCTATCTCGGCGAAGCTCGGCGATGCCTCTGGCTGCCTCCGGATGGCCCCTGTATGCTACTGACGTATTAAAAGGCGCGAAAGTTGATGTTATACAATGTTTTTTTTTTTTTTTTGATATTTTTCTCTTGTCAAGGTCTATATAGAGTAGGGATTTGTCTATTCATCCGTAGTTCAAGGCCACATCCGTCTGAGCCGGGCCAAAAAAAGAAAATTAACATCAACAACCACCGCAGCCTGCGCTCAATCAACCAACGCCACACTTTTTTGAATATCAAAGAGATAGGAAAAGAACAGGAAAGTAAAAGGAAAACCCCATTCCCACCAGACCCTCGGTTGTTGTTCAATTTGCATGCCAGATATCCTCCCTTCCTACAGAAGTGCAAAAGAGCCAAATGAAGTCAAATATCAAAGCTCAAATGTCAAGTAAAATGTAAATATAACCCGAGACCAATCGCTTTGGGGAAAAAAAAAATAACGCCGTCTCAAGGGTGATAAGTGTGGGAAGACCAGCCCAACAAGCCGTATTAGATTAATAAAGATCCGTTTGAACATCTTCAGCCGAGGAATGGTTAGAGAGGTACGCATGGAAATAATTCTCGGAAACGAACACCCGATAATAAAAAGCAAACGCCGACCGCTGTGTATGGTACAGGGGAATGCATCAATCAACAAAAACAATAGGTAAAATAAAATGCGTATCTGTTTTGTGATAAAAAATATAAAAAATTTCAGATCGAGTAAGTGGTACTAAAACACTCACTCGATATGTTTTTCGATTTATTTAGATATTTTGTATTTTTTTTTTTCTTTGGGTAGACAAAAGAAAACGTAGATAATGTGGGAAAAACAGGTTTTGTGTATAGGGTATATATGTTTTGTTGAATCACACATGGGTGTCATTTGGTGTGAGCCTATGCTGGGTGTCCACCATTGACTAAATCCAGCACCTTTCCGGTGACAGCGGAAGGGTAGCCGCGAGAAAGCATCTCACGCACAACGCCATTGGCGCCTGCATGGTCTTCAGCAGCAAGGAAAGCTCGAGTCATGGCCTCATATGTGCTGGGTTCTCGCTTGTCAATCCCCACTCCATCATACACTGCCTTGGCGTTACTGACATTTCCAGTCGTAGCCCAGCCGTGGATGAGGGTGTTTGCGATATAAGCAGTCATGGCAACCTTGTTGGCAGCCATATCGGCTAGCACGGCAGGAGTATCAGAGACCTGATGGTTGGCCACCATGGATTCAAACAGAGCTTGATAAAGACATGCTTGTGGGCGAAGGTGCGGTTCAGCAAGGGCGGAGTCGAAGGTTTCGCGGGCTCCGGCCATGTCATGCAGCACACATCCTCGAGCATGGATAAGAGAGGCGTAATGTACAGCCTCAGGAAGCTGACCAGAAGCACGGATGGTATCCAAAACCTCGGTGGCAGCAGTCATATTGACAGGGTCGAGCGAAGCATAGGCATCAATAAGCAGTTTATAAGTGTGCATCGTAGGCTGAATGTCCTTGGACTTCATACGCTCATAGTAAGCAAGAACCTTAGAGCGGTCACGCTTGGTGTTGAGGAAGTACTGGATGATGGAGTTGTAAGGTGCGGGACGAGGTTTGTAGTTTGGCATCGACTCCATTTCATCGAACATTTCTTCGGCAAAGCGTTCGTCGCTTACACGGCACAGGGCGTTGACAATGGTGCCATAGGTAACGCTAGTAGGTCGAACATTATTGGCACGCATCTCAGCGAAGTAGAGCAAACAGTCGTCAATGCGACGAGCTTTGCCTAGCTTGCCAATGAGAGCATTATAGAGGAATGAAGTCGGTTCAACACCCTCGGAGGTAGCACGATGAAACACCTTGACGGCTTCAGTGGCTTCATCAAAAGTCTTGGTTGATTCCTTGAGAGTGGTGATGTAAAGGCCGAAGGTATTGGCAGATGGAGCAGATCCCATGTTCAACAGTTCCTGGTGGTACTTGGCTGCGAGGCTACGCTCACCAGCAGTGAGACAAGCGGCAACCATGGAATCAAGGATAGAAGTCCAGCCATACTTGACAGCGTTGTATTGCGGAAGAAGCGGGACATCGTGTTTGGCCATACCCAGGATCTCATGTACCATGTTCATGTTTCCGCATTTAGCAGCGGCAGTAATTAGTTTAGCATAGGTAATGTAGCGGGGATGTCTGCCAATTCGGCGCATGTTCTTGAATTTGGTCATGGCATTGTTAAGATGGTCCTCGATACGGCCGCGCGAGCTCTCGAGCATCTCAGCAATTATTGACGACCCTCTGAAGTCTGTGGAGTGCGCGTAAGGATCAAACGAATCATCAGGGCGAGCAGGTTTAAGTCCTGGTGATGGCTGCGGCTGTGGAGCAGCTGGCGATGGGGTATTGTAAGAGGGCGTGGTGAAAACAGGGGTATTTCCATGGGTATAGTGGTGCCATTTCTGTGCAAGATCCGGGCGAACATCTCCCAACTTTGCGATTCCCCGTTCAAGAAGTTGCTTGGTGTAGTCGTCGAGGCGGATACCAGCGTTCATTGCAACATCCAGCATGTGGGCAAAGCGAAGAGGGTGTGCTGCATCAAACAAGGTGGAGCCATTGACCAGCATACCAGCCTGCGCCTGCATTGCAAGAGTAAGATCTCTAGCCGTCAAGTGAGAAATTCCCATGGGCCCTAGGCTGGCTACAACATACTCGGCAACAGGGGAGACAAGGCCACCGTTCTCGACCATACACCACATCAGGGTCATAGCCGAATGAGGTGAGAGTGGTGCTGCAGCCTGAATGAGAATGCGGCCAAGCAAATCAATGGCCTCGTCAATCTCCTCCCTCACACGCTGCCTTTGCTCATTTGCAGCGGCGCTTGAGCTTGCACTTCGAATACGTGTGAACATGCTTCGGGCTTCCATGAGACCCTCCTCAATTTGACCGCTCTTCAACAAGGCAATGGTGTACATAGCTACAGGCTGAATAAAGCTTGCATTGACACGGGATGACGAAGACAGGACATCCCAGAATGGCTTGGCCATTTCAAGGCTACCTTGGCGGATGTGGAGAGCAAGCATGGCGATAGCAGGCTCAACGGAGGTGGCAGCATCCGTGGTCAGGAGACGGTAGGCGCCTGTAGCGGTGGAAATATCATTGGCATCAGCTGCAGCAATGCAAATGTTCAAAGCTGCGTCTGTCAAGGGCTGGCCATGCAGCTGGGTCTGGGCAATGTGCAAGGCCGAAGCGAAGTTGCGGGTGTCAAGGGAATGTTGGACAAACCCATCCTTAATGATTACTTGTTCAACAGCTCGGAGGCGCTCTGCCTGATTCTCAACGCCATCAAAGGAGGCACGGATCTTGTTAAAGAAGCGATGGGCTCCCTCAGTGTTTCCGCAGGAGAGATAAGCCTTGATGACGGAAGCGTAGACTTCAGCATCTTGACGTTCGACAGTTCCAAAGACTCCACTGTTATCAGCAATGGCGAGGGTCTTATATTCGTTGTAACATTCAACCGCACTCTTGAAGTCGCCCTTCATTGAAAAGGTGTCAACCATTGGTGGGAACATGGCAGCGTGAGGTGCAACCTTGTTGGCCTCCATGTGAGCAAAGATCTCAATCATCTGGTCAACATTCCCCTGCATCGCACAAGCAGTCAGGAGGGAGCGATAGACGGTAAGTGGGAAGGCAATTTCGGGATGTCGAGTAGTAGCAACGTTGAACAGTTTAAGGGCAATTGGGAGAGAATGATCCTCGGTCAAGAGCTCATGCTCAACTTCGCTAGATTGAAAAATGAATTTGCCAGGCTCTTCCATGCCACCAAATCGTACTCGAGATTGCTCCAGATCCTTAGCCATGCGAAGGCAGTCCAAAGAGCGAGTGGACAAGAGCTGAACGATGATTTTGTAGGTGTCTTCATTAGGCATAACGCTCCGACGGAGCATATCGGAGTAGACATCAAGAGCCTTGGGGACAGCATTATGCGTCTCAGGATGAAGGCGGATTGCAGCTTCAAGAAGAACATTGTAAGCAGAGGCGGTGGGTTTGATCCCGTCCCTTAAGAGACTCTCGAAAGCAGCTGGGACCTGCGCGTGAGCCCCATCCTTGGCCAAGTCGACAATAGCGTTGGATCGAGACTCAGCCTGTTTCTTCTCGTAGAGGGAGATATCATTGACAGGAGTTCTTGGAGAGACGATAGATTCTTGGACGGAGGAAGCTGGAGTCTGGTGTGATTGTTCGCCGCTCTGCGCGTCGAAGACTTCACTTCCAGACTCAGCAGCCGAAGTACCATACTCAGACTCAGCAAGAGCATGTGCCTCCTGAATCTCTTGGATCTCTCTGGCAACAGCCTCATCAACTTTTGCGCTCACATTCTTATCCACAGGAGCACTCTCAACATTTCTGGAGGCTCGCACTTCACTGCGGCTTCGTACCCTTGAGACAGAGGCGGCAAGCTGGTCCACGTCAGACTCCTCTAAGGACTCTTTCTCTTCCTTGGCCGGCTTCCAGCCAATACGTTTGGTGAACTGGAATTGTTTCCAGTCACTGTCATCACCAGTCTGCTGAGCATGCTGCCAGGCAGCATAGTAAGCGGCTAGACCGGAATCACCGGTGCTACCGCTAGTAGCAGAGTGGCCTGCCTTTGCACCACTGGCGCTTGAAGAAGAACCAGAGGCATGTTGGAAAGCACTCTGAAGTTGTGCAGTTCGAGTGTACTTTACAGTCTGTGGGATCGAAGTGATCTGGTTTAGGGAGGATGCGGAGGGAGCATATGAAGATTGAGAGGCGGCAACGACAGACTGGGCGTAGCCGTGGACAAAGGTCTTGGAGAAGGTCTGGCGCGCGAGGTGAGTGAATGGCTTAAAAACCATTTACGTTATTGAGGGCCTCTTCAATGCGAAGAGGAAATACTAGGCAGGAGGGAAATGAGTAAGTACTATGATTTAATTTGGGCTTCAACGATCAACCAAGCGGCTTACCTACTCTAGCACTGGGATGATTGAGAGGATGCAGGTTCATCTGACGACCTGAAGCCGTCAATGAACGCGCTAAATGTAAGGGTATATATCAGGTTGACAAAGAAAGGGGGGGAAAGGGGGAGGTCTTTCTCGAATCTACCCGTGTCCCTTGATTGTATAGATTGATAATGGAGTAAATAAAGCGGAAGACTGGATAAAGGAGCGTAATGTCTACGCCCAGAAGACTTCTCTACCTCTATAAATGAGAGAAGAGAGCAGATCGATAGCGAGGAGAGAAACGAGAGAAAGATGGATGTCTCGTGAAAGTGAAACCTGAGATTGACCTTTCGAGATAGAAAAAAAGCCCTTTCGAAGGAAGGCGAAGAAGTGTTATAACTCATATTCTGACTAAGCAAGCTCACATTTTCCGTGTCTTTTTCTTGCCTAGCTCGCCCGATCGGGAAAGTGGGACCCAGGGCCACGAGAGCTGATCCTGATTGGCGGGATCACCCGAGCCGGTCTCGTGACCCGTTACCGAGAAGCCGCTGATCGTTACAGGGGGAAAGATATAGATCGCGGCAAAGACAAGAAGGAGAGACGCCTGGAGAGTGCGTGGATAGGCGTTGAAGACATTGACCTTGTTTGATGCTGTTTGCGGGCCTTAATATCCCAAAGAAGAATGCTCCAGCGCTCTCAGAAGGGGAAGATACGCGAAATTACTTGGTACGATTACACGACCAAGGCAGCCGGGCCAGACAATCGTCGGAGCTGTCGGAACTTTCGGAGCCGATGCGCTCGTGTTAGGGGGGAGATGAGCTTTAGGGCTGTGCCGCTGAGTCATGGCCTTTCCGGCTTATTTTCGTAAAGAGGATCAGTCAAAGGCCGTATATGACGAGTAAGACGAACAGGTCGAAGCTGCAAACTGAACAGCGAAGCGCGAAGATGCTTATGGAAGCTGTTGATCGAGAGGCGAGTCGATGGGCTCCCTCCATATTTTTTGTTGTGCGCATGTGCGGCCAGGAGTGCCGACCGTCCGTGAAGCACAGACAGAGTTCCAGAAGGCCTTTGGAAGCAGCAGGGGTAGGGTCCATGTTTTAACGGCCATGACCTCACAAACAGCTCTGGCTGGGCTGGCCCTGCCCAGCTAGGCTCCAGCATTTCTCGGCTTTGGCTTCCCTACCAGCTCCGGCAGTAGCCCATCATGCCTTGTTTCCATGGCATATTCCATCCAGTGCGTAGGCATGAGTGGCTGTTGTGGAGAACCCCGGTCCCCTTGCGCCGTGTGACACAAACATGGTGTTATTATCAGACTGGCTGGACGATTCCTTGCTCGGTCCGGAGACAAACGGCCTCAAGCGATTTTATTGGGGTCAAGCTATCGAGACATCGTGAAATCGTGACCTCATTATGATCCTGAGTGCTAAGTAACGAAACATTTCGAACTATAAATAGCAGAATCAGATAGCCGCTTGGGTGGGCATCTCTTAGAAGACAACCGTCCAGTGAAAGTCAGGCTATCAGAGATCGAAGGCACAAGGTTAAGGGGCGACCGGCGCAGGTAGTCGTTTCGTCTTGATAGCCAACTTAGGTTACTTCCGTTCCTGTAGTAAATGAAGTGATTATATAATTATCCACGTGACTCTCTGACATCCCCAGCCTGGCGCCTTAAACCACTCGGCCATTTTGTCACAGCAACGAGCAAAGGCAAGCAACAGGAACCTAGATGGGGATTATTTGCTACAGAAATTTTGTATTATAGCATCATATACTTGTTGACACACCTGAGGGAGCCGACAGTTATCTACTTTGCTGTTCACTCATCACTCACAATTACCTGCAATCCCATGAACCAGTGAAAAGAAAGTCATGCACCATATTCCCTTTCATCTTCGTCCTCGTTCAAAGTTGACACCCTGTCAATCCGATTGGTCCAACGAGTGAGCTCTACTTATTCAGTATGTTGAAGATATATATACTCGACATCGGTAAAGATATGTATTTTGGCCGAGACTTTCAGTGCCTTGTTAAGTGTGACACTATCAATTCTGTAGTCCCTTCCTTAAATTCGCTTGCAGTTCCAGGGACCCGTCACAGTGTTTGATATGTTCCAGAAATTGCATCTTTGATCGGGCGCATAAGTTGGTGCCAATCAATGCACGAAGTGGGTAAACATTTCGTGTAGCGAGGTCGGTAGTTGGACTTGAAAAGCGATACTGCTCAGAAGCTCGGAAACATCCTCGGCACCAAAGGCCGCGTTCTACAGTGTTGTCTGGCTGTAAAGAAGGGAAGCAGATAGACCCCATGCCACAGCACTCGTCAGTCAGAGTGCAGTAACGAATACGGGATGTCACTCCAGCCCCATTATTCTGGCCTTCTGGCGCGAGAGGAGCGTTTAGAAAATGCGCTAGGTGTATAAGGTGCGCGTTGTTTCGCAGGTTTGAAGGAGCAGAGCCTGCATTCACCGCCAACGAGAGCTCCTTTGCGGCCCTGACGCTGACCAGCTTCAGGCGCCGACGGCGAGAGAGCTCATGGGAAACGTCGTAAACTCCATAGATACTTCGCATTATGGGGATCTCTCTCAGCTTGGCGGTGGTGATTCTGAAGCAGTATTTGGCCAGATCGGCCGTCATCACCCACAGAGAAGGGTTTGAGCGCTGACATTCATAGCAACACCTTTCACACGTTGGGAGAAACAAGAAGGGGCCGTATTCACCGCACCAGACGCAGGATTCGGTCCTGAGAACAGCACGCAGCTTTGCGGCGGGATGTGCCGTGATGAGGCAGGATTTCCCGAGAGCCTTAAGGGTATCAGGGGCATGTTCCATAAGCTCTCGGTACGCTGGTAGATATTCGACGGCCCTTCTAGCTCGATGAGAAGTGCATGAAAGGCGAGAGAGGGCCTGGAAGTCCAACAAATTCAAGAGGGCTTGGAGAATTTCAAGGGGGAGACTGTCAAGGTACCCCATAGACGAAGGACCTTCGCAGGGCGGAACAGCTGAAAACCTTGCAGGATTTGAGATCGAGATTCTTCCTGCCAGCTGATGAAGGGGGCGATGGGCAAGATTAGCAATTAGATATTCATCGGATAGCCCGGAAGGTTGCTCGTCATGCGTTTCCCCTGAGCTATCAGGTAGTAACGTCATGGTTTCCCAGTGCTGCAGGGTAGCAGAAGCATATGGTACATCTATGATAGCAAGGAGATGCAGTCAGAGAAGAGGACGAGCAGCAGGATAGAACATGTTAGGGTAATTTAATTGCAGTGCTGTGTGGTGGGTAGATAACTAGTTAAGCCAACCTGGCTTATCGTCGCACAAGACAGAAGCCACAGCCGTATAACTAACTAGTTAATTAGTTAGTTACCCCCCTTTGTTGTGACTGTCTCTAGAAGAAAATGGCCAATACGGAGTATATCGAGATATGATGATATGTTCGAGTGCCACCATTAGATCTGAGATTTTGTTCTGCCTTCCAAATATCCAGGGTTTGGTCGAGGTGTTGTAGTTGGCGATGTTATTCCAAGCAACGAAACTGAACACCCAAAGTGATTCAGGTCCCGTCCTATAACTGCCCAGTTAACTAGCTGGCTGTCCCCTCCAGGCTAGCAACTAGTTAACGGCAAAGCGCTGTCATAACTAAGCTGCCAAAAGACTGATCCAACCGTCGCCGTTCACACACGATGTCTCGGGCCCCGGGAAGTTCTGCTCCGTTTATGGCATGCTAGCTGTGTGGACTACGACAAATACCCCCCCCGTGCGTCTTCCGGCCCCTTGCCGGATATTATCATATCTACCTCCAGAGCACCAAACAATCCAAGATAGCGTACGGACTACAGACAACTCAGTCGAAAGCTGGGAACTCTGCAACCAGCAGGCAGGCCCTTTTCATTTCGGGCATTCTACACGCCGAACGCCCGAGGCACAGTGATCCCATCTCAGCAGTTCTCCTCCCTCTGACCGCCGAGGCGCTGGATAGTTATGTGGGCCTATCCACGAGCTAATATACCCTGTATGTATTAACTCGCCAACGGGCAGCGGCGTCAGGGTGACGAATGCTGTGTGGGCAGCCCGGAACTGCAGTGGGATCAGCGCTGCGGTGGACTTTCCGCTTCCCTTTCCAGGTTGATTTAAGTCCGGAGAACCTTGTGATATTTAATTAACTACTTGTCTGGCGTGCTCATGCGTCGCAGAATCTCTGCCTGGCTCGCGGGGTAGACGCAGCTTATGCTATTTTATTATTGCAAGGCGATTATAACCTCAACAGTTGATTATCGCCACTACCTAATTTCCCGTGGCGTAGGAGAGGACAAAGAGTCAAGTCAAGGAGGGCATACTTCGTTGGACAAACTAGCCTATGCTGGTAGAGCTGCCGTTTTGGCCCGAGCTACAGAATCTCTTGAACTAGACAACGAATCTGGGCGGCGGTGGAAGTACATGGAAGACGCTTCTCCATGATACGGTACTCAAGCAGCTGCAGGCCAACCAATATACCAACTGGCGGGTTTCTACGCCTTCATAACTGAGAGCAGGCACTCCCAATAATAATAATATCCTTGGGTCACCATATAGATATGGAGACGAGAGTCCGTACTGGTTCATTTCTCTGTGGTACTGTGGGTCGGAGGAAGATCCCCCTGGCGTTAGCATCATTTAACCACCCAAGATGTTTTAGAAAACGATGATCGAACGCTCGCTCCAAGAGATCTTTGCAGTCATGCAACAACCCAGCCAGTGCACGGATACTTCATGCTGGAATTGAACTTCTACTTCTTGCATAAATTTGAATATTGAATAATGCCACATACTGTTGCCATCTCTTTGGTACTATACCCCTAGGATAAAGATATATGTGTCCCCCTGGAATATATCCCGGAGGAAGGGAAATGTCAATCTCCTTTCGCCCGGGTGATATGCCAGCCGCCCTAATAGGAGAATTTAGGCAATGTAATACCACGAATTCGTGCAATGCCTGGGGAAGATGGTTAGTTAAATAAGCCGTTAAATCCCCATCTCCCAAGCGACTCTCTCCCTTCTCTAGAGGTGCTCTTGCCGGTTGGTTTCGAATTACACACTCGTTCTTTTGTATTTACCTACTATCATTTCGTTCTTTTTATGTCAATCTACACTCACTCATTTGTGTAGATTGGCCTTCCGTTCCTTTTTATTCCACCAACCTACACTCACTCCTTTTGTGTAGGCCAAATTTTTTCACCTCTTTCCTTTCGTCCTAACTGCTTGCTAGAGCTGTAGGCACGGGGTATGGTGCGATTTCACCAGGCCATTGCTGGCCTTTTGCTCTGTGTTGCTAGCATAGCTAGTGCTGTAGAGCCGTGTGGCCAGGTTGCTGAGTACCAACAGGAACAGAAGAAGGAGGCCCCAGATGGTCTGTCCAGATATAATACCCAATGAATGATTTAATATCATTCGCTGACGGCTGGTTTCAAATAACTATAGTTTCCGAATTCAAAATCCCGGCACACCTCGCTCATGCATGTCTCCTATCTGTCCCTTTCAACCTAAACAGCACTCTACGCCTGCTTGACGGGCTGAGCTACTTCTGGGATTCCCAGTCGACCAAGGGCTGGTTGCCTAACCCACCAAAGGGGTATGATCTACCTCCCACAGATCTCGACGCAGGTCTGGATAAGATTCGCCAGAAGGCCCTCAGCGGTGGCTACACGGGCGAGTACATGTTTCAGTTAGATTTGCACGCCCTCGTTGCATCTGTCCACGACGACCACTTCTACTTGAACACGGACCTTATTTCTATCTTCTCCTTCATTCGCTACGATGTCGGCTCTTTGGTCTCTCTTTCATTGAAAGGAACGGATTTCCCAAGGCTTTATGTACTCGGTAGGTCGCACTAGGCCCTCCGTCTCTCCTTCGCTTAGAATTCCCTGTCTCACCCGCCATTATAGATGATTTGATAAAGTCAAGCAAGTCATCAGCTACTAGCAAAAAACACTCCATTGATCCCAACTCTGCTATCAAAACCATTGATGGTGAAGATTCCGTGAAATGGCTAAAGGACTGGTCCCTCAATGG